GCTAGGTTTCAATTTTAGAAAATGTCCTTTTATCGCTGTTTTCAGGGAATGAAAAATATCATTCGAATATGAAAAAAATGTTATAGTAGCTCGGTCGGTAATCGGGCAGCCTAGAAGCAGAAGGCGTTTCAGCGGTTCATGTCACGATCATTTACACTTTTTTTTTATTTCCAAAATACATGATTTACCAAATAAAACCGAGCATAGCTCGGCCCTCCAGGTACTGTTTTATAAACAAAAATATTAATAGTCTAAAATATTAATAATGTATTGCATTATTATCTGCTTGTTCTCTAGACTTGCTCTTTAAGAAATGATATTTAAAGATATATCGTATTTATAATATAATAATTATCGGTATTATCAACAGATCAACAGTTAGTAGAATTACGTGAAACCAAAATCACCCAACCAAATTTAACTTCATAAAATCGTTATAGATGGCAAAGTCATAAATGGAATGCGTATAAACGGTAAGAACGCCGTCGCATTATCCTTATCAGGAACAGATATAAACCATGACCTATGGGCAGCCAGTACAGGTATTCTAATTACGCATTAATTAAAACCGGGAGGCGCATATGAAATCAGCCGTGGCAAGCGCATAGGTGGCTTATAGAGAAACATTATATACTTGGGATTAAACGGTCAATGGATATCAGTTTATCAAACGGAGCTTAGTATATCGAGGGCTTTTCATTACAACAGAAACCGTACACTCCACGTCGCTACGACAAACACCTCTGTAGGTGTCCGGCTTTAAGGAGTCGAGTATTATATGTGGTTTAATCTTTTATTTTTAATCGAAACCGAGTTTATATCAGTGTTTGGCTTAGTTAAAACACGCTGGCCAGTTTCGAATAAAAAAATAAATAAGCTTTAACCAATTTTCTAACCATTATTTTTTTTAGAGTACTAGTAGGTACCTTTACTTTTTAAAAAAAATGATATAGCTATGTCTGCGCCTAAGTTTTTATGAGACAAGCTATAAAGATTTTGTTTTTCAATTTATTAATCATTACGTTTATATAGATATTTAACCGAAAACACCTCGCATTGAAATACTAGTTTTATGTTGTGTAGACTTTTTTGAGGTGTGTAGTTTTACGATCATAAGTATCCCCACAGACTACCATTAATTCTTTTATAAGTCCTCCGCTAAAAATAGCCTCGTCCAAAGATTGCGACGGTAAAAGTTTATCGTTATTAATTAATGTCTAGATTGAGTTTTCATTCGTGTCACGATATCTCGGTCTTTTCTAAGTTTAACACTTATAAGATGGTGGCAGGCACTTCACTAATTGATGAGTTTCTAGGACCACCTAGGTACATCACCAGTTATATTGCAAACGTCATAACAAAAGTAAGAGTCAACCTGAAGCCTATAAGAAATACATCTGAACGTGTTCACGGCGATTTCCTGAGACCCATTTATGTAAAAATTTAAACAGCGCACGGCACTACCGGGGTAAAATAACACTTGTAAACCTGAAATAAAAAGATGGTTAAGTTATCACTAAATTAAATTAAATCTTCCACAAGATAACGAAGTACTAAGATTTAGCTAAAAGAGAAAACAATTTATTCTTTAAAAACACTAAGGGAATCCTTACAGACATGGTAATTTAACTTGAAGCATTTTACGCTACAAAGGCCGTATGAAACAGTTTCGTTGTTTAACAGTTATAAGTAATAATTGTTTTAATTAAATTTTACACGTGTAATGCTGATTTATTCAAATGATCGTCATCATCAAGAAAAAAAAATCTCAATTCCTACGTAATGCCTTAAATATTTCCCGTGCTTATCGGCGCTGACGTTATCGATAATGATAATTTGAATTGTATAGTAGCTTTGTAGATTGTTACGCGTCGATTGGTCACATTTGCTGAATGGAAATTATTCCTCGAGGCACATATATAAATAATGCAATAATACACGAAGCTGTGTTTAGTGACGCTGAACGAAGGGGGGAAAGTCTCGATTGTATTATAAACTATTGTACTCTAAAACTATGTAGCGAACTTTGGCGAATAATGTTTGTATTAAATAAAGCGTTATATAATTTCTTAAGAGAGAGAAAAATGAAAGCAAATGTGCACAATTCGTACTGATTGGTTTGATAAAAGAGACCGTCTCTTATAAGGTACAAAAAACGAGAATTTCAATATCGCATTTAACTTAGAGTACTGCAATGCCACGATTACTGTTATAGTACGATTTACGCTTAGCAACAAATTCAGCGATTCATGTTTATATATAGAGATAAATAAATTTATTATTTGAGTACAAAATGCCGTAGATCATGCCAAAGGGTCATAAGTCAGAATAATATTGCAGGAGCATAACTTCAACGACATTTAACGGACATCAGGTTTTTTCTCATTCTAGTTACATGCAGCGGCTTCTCCAGTATTATGAAGGTGATCGCAGAACCGGGAAGTATCACGAACGCGAAGATGTTCAGAGTAAAATATAACCATCTATATCTTTATGTAAGTACTTGTACAGCGTTGACTGAAGCCAATAAATTCGACACCCATTGCTTGATGTTATGTGTCTTTATTTGGGGACTACATTCTAAACATTATAGTCATCGAATGACTTTCCACTTTGCGATCACCCTATGAACCAAAATGCCCTTATTTCCGTGCGAAGGAGAGACAATTAACTAAAACTGTAATGGAAATTAAGCTAAGCATAAATGATTCTAAGATTATTTATGATCGTTGGCCATCCTGTCGGGTTCTGTGTACAAGTTTTTAATCTGCACAGCGATTTTTGGCACCAGTTGTCGTTAAATACGTACATTTCGGAACGATAAAACTTAGAGAATTTTAGGAAGGAGGAAGCCTCTAAACTAAATGACGGAGAATGTTTTCAAAACGTCTGATGTTGAAATGTTGCGTGGCAGGTCCGCTGCTAATCACGACGTCGCTTGTTAGCTTGCTACCTGCTCCTTAAAAAAACGTACACCCAAAAAAACGAAAGCGATACGTTTTCTAAATGAATTTCGCCTTACAAAAACATGAAGCGTTAGCGCGTAGTGACCCAGACGTTCGACCTTACGAACAACAACCTTCGTCATTAGCGGAACTCTATATGTCGATAGTGCTACATAGACTTATGTAACGGTCCGCCCGCCGCCTCGGAGACGCCTACCAGCCTTCGCCCAACCCTAGTGGGTGCCACCCGCTGCAGTTGTATTGCACCACGACCTTTGGCCTTTCCGCCTTAGCCCACGCGACCTACTACCGCGTTTTTGAGTTGCCGCATAAAATGTTTTTGTTATGCAACATTAAACGCTTCTGACAATTTGATTTTGATATTCGAATACCGATATTAACACTCGTTTCTGCTACACACTAAGGCCCTTACACAATTTATAAATTTCATAGCCAATATCTTTATATATATATAATTCTACAGTACGTGTGTATGTCACTGAGCTCCTAAACAGCTCGACCGATTTTAATGAATTTTTTTGTGTCTTCACACAAAAAAATTCGAAATCGATAGATTCGAGAATGGTTTAGATTCACATATTTTTAAGTTATCGGATTTAAGCCGTGCGACAAGAAAAAGTTTGACCGGTCAGCTAGTATATTATATATAATTTTTAGTCCATAATTGCACCCGCAGAAGCTGTTGCCTGGTCCTTCCACAGACAAACAGAAGTATACCTTCAATAAATCTACAGTCAAAGTCAAACTCAAAGTCAAATATCTTTATTTTTTTTTTTTTTTTTTTTTTTTTTTTTATGGAGAAAAGGGGCAAACGAGCAGGAGGCTCACCTGATGGTAAGTGATTACCGCCGCCCATGAACACCTGCAACACCCGAGGGCTCACAAATGCGTTGCCGGCCTTTTAAGAAAGAGTACGCTCTCTTTATTCAATATAGAAGCATTCACTTACTTATTGATAGTCAAAAAACTCTATCACCGGTTCGGAAGGAAAGCCACTGACCTGAGAAGAACCGGTGTAAGAAACTCAGCGGGACATTTTATTTTTACTTGCCAAGAACAAATATGTGTACAATTTATTAAATTCCACTTGCGATCAATTAATTTCCAGAGTGTGTTATCATTCAAGTAATCACTAATACTATAGCCATTTCCCATACTGTAATACACACGTTCCTTTACAAGTTTTTTGAATTTAGCAACGGATTAATTTTGAACGTTTTCTGGGATTTTGTTGTAAAAGCGTATACATTGTCCCATAAAAGATTTACTTATTCTACGCAATCTATAATTTGTAATCATATTCTAAATACATATACAATATCACTTTAAATTCGCTAAATCACAGAATAAAACGCCTCTTCCAAACCTACACGATTCATATAACTAAGGAGTTCTAATATAAATAGGTAACTGACATAGTGATAGCATTAAATGTAATCATTGCAACATAATTGTACTTTAACATTGTATACTTTACGAATAGTATTTATATGCTCAAGGTAACCCGGTTATAGCTGACGTCAAAAGGCTTACTCCGCGACGTTAATTGAAAGACTTTGGACTTGATTATGGCCCGTGAAGTAACTTTTGTTTTTACTTTAAAGACTACATTAGATCTTCTAGGTCGCAGTGGTCGTTGGGATTAACTACAAAAAATCAACTTTTGTATAATGCCACGCAATTTTACTTTATACATAAGAAATCCTAAAAATTATTTAACCGAAAAAGGAAACCAGGAGCGGCATTATTATGAAAAATTTATAACTCTCAACAACAAATCGTAAAACAAATACCATACAGGAAAAAAGCAATTTCCTGCCGTCTACTTCGTACAATTATATATTGTATTTGCGTCGACCTTCATTCACTACGTCAATTGTGAACATCGTAAATTGCACACAGTACAGTAAATTGCATAATGCATTATGGTTTTGATATGCATACAAACCACGTGCCTTTGGCCGGCTAGAAACAATTTATACTTACGTTTTATATACTTGGATACTTGATCAGTTAATATAGTAATTATCATTACCAGCTGCAATACCCATTGAACGGAATTCATAACCTTAAATCACTTACCAGATAGAACGAAGTTACGAACGTTGCAAAATCTTACGAAATAGAACATTAAAAGCAGAATTATGTCGGACTATTCAAGTAATCCGATTCCTAACCACTTAAAATTACTACAATGTAAACATAATATGCAAGTTTGTATAGGAAACGAAAGTAACAAATTGATTGCAGTTCCGAAAGTAGGCCTACGCACGAGCGGGTGGAGGAACGTTGGGAGGGGGGGAGGCTCGTTATTAATTGCAGCATGCAAACCCCGACACGGGCTGACCTGGGGTGGCGGTATTGCGAGGGGGGCGCGATGGGGTTTACTATCGACGCGACAGCCGCTACGTCATTTACGGCGCCACGTGTGCGATCGATAGTGACGTCGTCGTGTCGGTGGTGGCGGCGAGGGGGCGCGGGTGGGGGCGAGGAACCGTGGAGGGGTTGTACTAAAAAGGGGTGAAGACATAGGGCGCGGGAAGGGGTGGGGGAGGGTGGTGGTGCGCGCGCAACGAACTCCGACCTACTTACAGTTACGTTTCGCTTCACGTGGCGTCTACGTAGCGCGATCGAACGCTAGAGGGGCCCGCAGCACCGGGGATAAGGCCAGGCGCAGGCGCGGCGAAGGTTGCCGTCTCCTCAGACGATGCCCCCTTGCAGCGTGTCCCACATAGGAGCCCTCATTCATTGCAATGAATTGCGAAATACAAAATGCGGATATCCCAGGCAGTTTTTTTTTGCCAGGATATATAGCGCTTCAGCGCTTTGAGCTAGCAACTGCTCGGCTATGTTCTAATGCGTAATTAAAAGAACGTAGTAAGCAAAAACACAATTATATAAACTATTTCGTACTTCTAGGACTGAAAGTCAATATTAAAACGTCTACTATTGTCCTAGTTATATAAATAATATCATAATGAGTATATTAAATCAGCCTAAATTACAAAATTACGCAGAAATGCAGATAACGATATAAAGACTAAAATCGCCACGTTTACGATACGATGTATAATTTTATAACGTGAGGACACAGAATACGAATACGTAAACATATTAATGTACCCTATAAACCTCAATTATTAAAACAATGTCATGCTCATGAAAACAAGAAAAAAAAAGAATACTCCTCGTTCGATCAAAATATAATAGAACAACTCGCAAGTTGCATGGCTTCCATCGACCACGCAGACGAGTCACGGCAAGGACTTGTTTACATATAGCGAAAAAGGTAACACATTTCGGAAGGACTCGTGCTAAGTAAAAAGTTTTTATCTTTAGTAAACATCGCCCTTACTTTACGATAGCATTATCCAGTGTTGTAAGGACGTTTTACAAACATAAATTTCATGCGGACAAAAACCCAGATGCGAAATAACTATCACATGTGGGTTACACAAATAATTGTTCCGTGTGGCGAACCCACCACCCTAGACCCCAACTGCGCCACGGAGTCATCAATTATCGAAGTCATCATCATCGCATCGAACTTACTGGATTTAATTTTCATTTATAATATTATATGCAAATAACAATAACATTATACCCGTTCTAAGTTAATAAACCAACGTTGGGTCTAGCAGCCTGTCGGGTATAGTAGGTAGACGACTTATGCCCTTCGTTGAAATAGTATGGGGGGGGGGGGGGGATTTTCAAGAATTGATTACATTAAATGTAATATTATTATGAACTTTTTAGTCCTAATTAGGGTTGATGAGGATTCCTCTTCCTCTTCCTCTTAATGCTGAACTTCCTCATTTTTTCACGAATCCTCTTCCTCATCCGTTTCCACAAAAAAAATTTTACAAAAACCTCCTCCTCTTCCTATAAGTTTTTTGTAATAGCAATTTTTAATTTTAATGAAGCAATATTCTAAATATTAATGGTTATCATTAAAAAAGTTCGACTAAATGACTTTTGAAATTACGTAGGTAACCGCAGAATGTCGAGAACCGACCTTCTTCCTCCACGGCCACTCCTGTGGCAGCGCGTGATGAAAACGGAATTGTGAATGCTATGTTAGTTGATATGCTCAATTCAGCACCTAACAGTGACGATGAAAATAGCGAATCATGCTCACCAATAAACAGACATGCTTTAGTTAAGTCACTGTTAGCTGATTATATTAAAGGAAAGAAACTGAATATTACTGGAGACAGTCTTTCATGGTAGAAAGTAAACCCAAAATATTTTGAACATTATGGAGTAATAGATCAGTATTTATCAGCCCCTCCAACAAGTGTTCCCAGTGAACGCCTTTTTAATGGTGCTGGTTTACGATGAGCTACAAACCCATTTATCAGGAGAAACAGTATCTAAATTATTATTTATTAAATTCAATTTATATATTATTTATCACGTGCTCCGCGGTGGAGGAAAACATCGAGAGGAAACCTGCATATTTTCGAAATAATAACAAAAAAAATATATTTCGAAGATATGTGAAGTCCGCCAATACGCAGTGGGGCCGCGTGGTGGACTATGCCCTGATACCCTCTCTATAGAGGAGGCCTTTGCCCAGCAGTGGGACATGTATAAGCTGTTACTTTAAATTCAATTTACCAGAAATAAATTTTAAACATAAATATTTAATTATTTTAGCACTAATTTTAACAAAAAAAAATAATAAATAAAAACTTTTCCCATAAAAGTAATTTGTTATTATCTTCAAACAATACGAAGGTTTTGTTTTAATTGTAAAACGTTAATAATGCATATTTTGCCCAAAATATTTTTTTTACTTCTACATCCTCATCAACCCTAGTCCTAATAGAGTTTTTTGAAAGCAGTTATTTTTTTTCTGTTATCTACAAAAGCGTTTTTTTAGTTTTTTTTTAAATTCTATGTTCGTAAGATATCTTACAATTAATACTATTATAGTACTTCTTTATAATTAATTTATTACTTACAGTTAGATGCGCTTTTGCAAAGGAAACTGGGTCCTTAATATGCCATTACTTTCTCGTTAGCGGTTTTTCCAATATATTGGGTTTCAAATGAAATGACGTCCAACAAGTGGGTTATAAACCAATTGATTAAGCTTTAAAAAATATTGTGTGTTTAAGGATAAGTATTTGAACGGCTATAGACCCGAAACCCAAAACAAGACTTACAGCTTTCGGTCACCATTATTACAAATGTAGGTCAACTCAAAATAACCCTATGCGAAATTTAGCGCAATTAGCGCAAGTGCAAGATTCTCACACTATGTAGAAGTTTTCGCTATTCAAAAGCAAATGACTTGATCACTCCGTGGCGCAGTAGCCAAGGCGTTGGGGGTCGTGGGTTCGCATCTGGGTTTTTGTCCGCATGAAATTTATGTTTGTAAAACGTCCTTACAATACAGGATAATGATATCCTAAAGTAAAGGCAATGTTTTAAAAAAGAAAAAAAAATGTGTTAAAACGACTTCGAACCGAGTTATACCAGTCTACCAACCAAGCTAATGAGGCCTTCATAAGTGTAGCATCCGAAATTGTATTACAATCGAGAAGGAGTCCTAAATACGACAACTATGTAACGACAGGACACGTTGTATGTTTATAAAATGCAAATTTCTCCGCGGCATAATGTTGGAAAGCGGCCATAGGTGTTATAGGCGTTACGGGCCGCGAGCGCTGCGTGCGCACTCTGTGTGCCCGTGCTCGATCGATACGCGGGACCCAAACAAGCCGGGCTCTGCGGCGGTGGCGTGGGCGACTGACCTATTTCCAGCCGACCGTGCCACCGGCCCCGATATTATGTCACACGTACTGCGATTCCGTGCATAGTACCACATCGATATCGCCACGGTAGTCTGAAGGTAGTTTAAGTGTGGTAGGGTCTTCGCTGTTGCACGAATGGGCAGGTCATAGTCAGCTATATTTCTACATTTCATTTGGTGAGTGGGGTAGCCTGGGCCCACTTAATTATAAGGTGGCAACTCATTGCAACCCTACGGATGTTGCAAGACTCCATGGACGGCGATTATTAATTAACATTAGGTGAACCGCTAGCTCGCTTGCCTCCTTCTCATATTAAAATATCGGTAACACTCATCCGTAAAGCGCCTCCAAGACCTGATCACTCCCCCTTTACGTATGTCACTTACTTTATATCATGCAGTCAGTTTCATTTATACTGCGGAAATATTCACATATGATAGATAGACGCTATTAGCCCCCGTATCCGGCGGAATTAAAACATTAATAGCGTTAACACATTCCCGTGAAACTATTTAAAGTCTGTACGACCTACAAATATGCCGTAACAGTTAGAGATAACGTCGCATTACGTTTGAAATGTAAAAGGAAATCGTCGTTAACTTGGAATATTTAGGCAAAAAAACTTCCTCAATTTCTTTATATTTCCCACATTATTTTACGGCCGGGTTTTGATATTTCTGTGAGAACCCAGCACTATCAAATCGCAAGGAAACACCGTATCAGCGTTTTAATAAACAAACATCGATCTAATCCCGACGCCAGATTTAAAATACAGTTTTCCTACAAGTTTGAACGGCAAGCGCGATGCTTTATGCACACGTTATGCGGACGTTTTAAAACAGACGTGTCGCATCGAACATGAGCAATGCAGTTGTTGGACGTTGAAAGGCGACGATAGAAATAGCATCGGATGCACGGGAGGGTTGGCCGCGGAGAGCGAAAGGTTGTGGTATTATTGTAACACTAATTCGGGAGGACCCAAACAAACCATCACGAGCACGACCTACATACCGGCGGCGTCTGAGGGGCGGGCACAAGTCACAGTCGTGATTCGAGCGAACGGTACGTCGATACCTATGCCAATCTAGAAGCCCGACATTCTATTACTACAGCTCTTGTCCTACAGAATCTCAACTAAAATACTGTAATTTCTAATAAAATTGACATTGTTCAGTGATGATGAATTATCAATTACTTCTATTATCGTTGAAAACTCGCGAATTATAACTGGTTTTAAAATAATAATTAAAAATAATTCAATAGTCGCCAAATGTGGCCAAATAAAGTACTAAGTTCGTTCTTTCACACTCTCCTCCACTTGACACAAATTAATTTATTGCTACTTAAGTGGCTATTGACAGAGTTGTGACATTGTTGTAAGGTTAAAAGATCAAAGAAGAGGTAAAAATGATCCATAATCCAAAATACATTTTTGAGTTTAGTAATAGCATTCTAAATTAAAAATCAGTACACAACGCTAACGTACTATATTGAGATGCGAAATTTATGATAATATAAAAATAAATTGAACTAGGAATGATTATGAGGGCAAATGTCATGCGAATAGCGGACAACGTTTGTGAATTGCCACATGATAGATACACTTCCACGAACCGTGCTTGCTAATCAACTTGCCCAAACAAACCTGAACGATATCGTATGAACAGCTTGCGCCACACTCTCCCGTGGCATATGACAAGTAAATAGCGTAGTTATCAACCGCACTGTGGCTCAACAAGCTTGACCCACATTCGGTGTGCACACATCCTATCGAAAGCGCATTCCGCGGTCCAAATCCCCCCCCCCCCCCCTTCCTTTCTAAGGCTGCGTATGTCAATCAATGCAGTCTAGAAGGCCTTGATATAAATAAAATATAAGAGAACGACATATTGTATAGGTATGCCAAGAAAAGTTTGGCATCTGAATGTATATTGTGGAGTTCCTGTAAGTACTGATGCCAGCTATTTAAAGAAGGTAAGTCATATGAGCTACTTTCATCTATCTATCAGCTATCGATTACTTTAGCTGATAGATGTATCAAGTCTATAAAAACTTAAAACAAGGAGATACAAACACCATTACACGTACACGTGCGTATTACACGAATTAAGTAGGTATATATCGTCTTAATTTTCTTCCGAAAATAGCCATTTGCAGAAATGATCTTATGGTTCGTTTTCTTTCATGGACAGCGAAATAAATTACTTTATGGTAACGAGCGGGCAACGCTACCGTCCGGCGGTTGAAAGCCGTTGTGCAATTGCTTTGTGACCTCACCGAATTCGTGAGCGCAAACAATGAGGCTAGAACAAACTGCTGCACAGTTTATTACACAGGTAAGCGTGTAGGCGCGTTGAAAAATGCACACCCGCGACCTTAGCCCACTTGCCAGCGACGCCGACGCCGGGGCGCCGCGGCCGCCGGGAGGAGGAGGGGCGAGGGGCGAAGGTGCCGAGGCAGCGGAGGGGAGGGGGGACGCCCCCCCCCGAAACACCATTTAGAAAGGCTCGTCGATTGATGTGTACGCGCCGCCCGTACGCTTCCATCTTATTCATGTCACCCGGATTGTTATTTCGAGGCAGTTTCGCTCGCCAATTGCTCGGATCGGGTAGACGATGACGGATTAGTCGATGATTCCTCATAGGCCTACGAACGGTATCGAATTTCAATGACTACATACTAAATATGCAACAACTAAAGAAACCAAACAACGAAATGTAGTCAACCGGAGTTCCTCGAATGTAGTCGTCTAATTCCGATTTATGAACATTTCAAAAGGAATGAATGAAGGTGAAAGGCGTATTGCGTTGACCTCTCCTGGCTGTACCAGTAGTAAGAACGGGCACGGTTTTGCCTACTTCACGCGGGTTGATGCAGAAATCAAAGGGTCACGATCGAAACTTGACGCAAACAAACACGAGAGCGTCAACGACGAGCGGACGGCTTGTAAACCGCAGCTCGTTTTGCCGCGGACATTATTATATTGAAAAATAACATTATGGTTTTCTTTAAATCAGTGAAATGATAACGTCAGTTTCCATTATTATATTAAAAATAACATTATTTCTTTAATCAGTAAATGATAACTTTCCTGCACAAAATAAATCGAACCCATGTCGTCTTGCACTAAATAGTATTTTTGTTTGTTCTTTCTTTTATTTTTGGGTTTCAGATTTCTTACGGATTTCGTAGTAGCAAATTGTTGGAAAGGCATAATTACGAAACTATTACATTACGAAACAAAAGCAAAGATGGGTTTTGGTCCATAAATTACTTTTTAAGTTCAAAATGGCTCAACTTTGATTAATATAAGAAGCAGAGATTGAATATCTGTTTTATATTATGCTTCACTGCTTATAGTTCTTAGCATTTACAATGTGAGTAAGAGTATGGCGTAAATCTATGAGTAGTATTAGTAACGAAATACTAACCTAAATAATCCCTTCAAAGTCAAAGTCAAATATCTTTATTCAATATAGAAGCATTCACTTACTTATTGATAGTCAAAAAACTCAACCACCGGTTCGGAAGGTAAGCCACTGACCTGAGAAGAACCGGCGTAAGAAACTCAGCGGGACATTATTTTTTTTTACTTGCCAAAAAAATTACAAATATGTGTACAATTATTAAACTCCACTTGAAAGAGCCTGGAGCGATCAATTCATTTCCAGAGTGTGTTAATAATCACTAATACTATAATAGCCATTAACACACAAACGTTCCTTTACAAGTTTTTTGAATTTAGCAACGGATTCATTTTAAACGTTTTCTGGGATTTTGTTGTAAAAGCGTATACATTGTCCCATAAAAGATTTACTTATTCTACGCAATCTAGTTGAGGGTAGAACTAATTTATGCTTGTTCCTAGTATTTACATCATGCACATTACTAAATCTTGAAAAGTCATTCTTATTTTTGTGGACATACATAACATTAGCAAGTATGTACTGAGAAGCTACAGTCAATATTTTTATTTCTTTAAACAGGTTTCTTAGTGAGTCTTTGGGGCCCAGGTTATAAACCGCTCGAATAGCTCTCTTTTGCAGGATGAAAATAGTATTTATGTCGGCTGCATTTCCCCAAAGTAGAATGCCATAAGACATTATACTGTGGAATAGTCATTAATAGTCCTTAAATAGTCATTAACTGAATTATTATTAATCATTATTATTATACGGAAAAATGTCTGTGTGGCAAACGAGCTGACCACAGTTAATGTGATTTCAGTTAGAACGAGACTTTAATGTAAAAAAAAAACAAGTATCATCATAGCAGGTAATAAAATTAAAATTCTACCGTAAACTGTAGCCGTCCAATCTGTACCTGTAGTCGTTAAAGAAATGATACGATGGTAGTATTTAAAACAACTGGACCGATTCTTAACACATTTTTAGTGATCTACATAGATTACACTTTCCCCGAGTCATCCTTACTAATATTATAAACGCGAAAGTTTGTATGGATGGATGTTTGTTACTTTTTCACGCAAACACTACTGAACGGATTTTAATGAAACTTTACAATAATATAGCTTATACATCAGAATAAGACATAGAATAAGAATTTATACACATATTTTATGTATATCTGTCTTTCTGTCTGAATGTTATGCCTTCAGTCTATTCTACGCAGACGTACTCGCGAGCAGCAGCTAGTATCTAAATATTTTACTTGAATGAGTATTCTATTAAACATATGTGGAGAAGCAGGATATTATACTGTTCAAATAAAACTATTAAAAATCTCAGCGTGTTGACGTCTTTTACGCCAAAATGAGAGTGTAGAGTAACTTCCCGTTAAACTCCAAAACAAAATGTATTAATTCTTGTACAGATGTTATAAAAGTATATAAATACCAGAAAAAATTTAAGTGACTTACGCCCGGTTTGGAAAAGGATGATTAAACTCTTTGAATTGATTATTCTGATCATTAAGAAGATCATTCTAATCATTTTAGAAATAACCATCCTTTTGGCAATTTAAATAATATTTGATTAGCCATTTGACAGCTAATTAGCTTCTACGATGATCAGTGTTTCAGAAACCGAGCGTTTTAAACTTGATTATCATTGGGAAGACGGAGCGATTAATCTCGAAGCTGAGTTGCAAATTTTCTTTGGCATTTGCTAAATCATTACAAGAGCACAGCTTATAATACGACAGTAAAAAGAACGTTGAAATTAATTGAAATTCACAGAAAAAATGTTTTAAGATTATAAATACAAGGCATGAAGACAGATTGACAAGACCTTAAGTACATGTCACTGTTGTGAATAAGCAACATGCTCAAGTTTAACAATAACAAAAAAGTCATTGCAGGCGAAGTCGTTGCCTCAAGCCTGCCGTAGGCTTTGCCCGGCGCGGCGGTTGTTCACACGACTCGTGGGTACGGCCGCACTGGCTTCTCCGGTTATTTATTAATAGCGAGCAGTTACTCGCAGCGACGGGGGAAAGAGAGAGTTGATAATCCCGCGGTGGAATGTCATCGTTTCGATCTTTTTTGCGGACTGTCCCCGGTCTATCGGTCAAGCGACGATCGTAGGCATGGTCAAAGTTTTAGTAACAAAAAATTTTCGAAGTAATCGTGATCAAAGTTTACTTTGATACCAGACGACACATCGAAAATTTAGGTGGACACTTTTATTCGTTCTACTGGCAGTCAAGATTGAATGACGATGAAAGATATAACAATTAACACTGGTGTTTAGATAGTTACAATACACGTGAGCTTTAAAAATTAGAACACGACGAAAACCCGTCCATTTCGTAAACAAGATCACAGTTTTCATAATTAAACAGATGTAACAGCTACTTGGACCTATTTTGTTTATGATAAAACCGGTCAATGTAGACTCGGGCCGCATTCTAATTTATCAAGCTTTGATGATATACTTGTCTAGATGACACATTATCCTTACGAAACGGCGCAAATCAAGTCTACTAAAATTTTATAATAGCTTGGTCGGTAATCGGGCGGCCCCGAAACAGGAGCCTGCGGTTCGTGTCACGATCATTTACACACCTTTTTTTTCTTTTTTTTCTATACCACATCATTGCTTTCTTTATTTTTTTTTTTAATTTCCAAAATACACGATTTGCCAAAAAATTTTGTACTAGCAAATTGTTGCAGACATTATTACGAAAACATTACATTACGAAACAAACTACTTTTGTTTCGTAGCGATCGATGGGTTTTGATCCATAAATTACTATTTTTTGTTGTTACTAAAATAAATAAAACTACTAATCTACAAAATAATTACTTTATGCAACCTATTTTGTTTAACTTTCACCTTATTAAATAATGGAGAAAATGTAATTTAAAATTGGAGCAGGCATCCACACACACCTTGACAGTTTGTTTACAATAAGTACACGAGCGGTACTCTTCATGTTTAATGCTGAGCGAAAATCAATAAACCCATTAGTGTCAGTTTCCCGCTAACATAAAATTTAGAACTTGAATTTGTCACATCTGAAATAGAATTACACGCGAGAAAGCGTACAATTCTGTATCGTGCCTCACTTTATACCGGTTTATGAGTTCACCCACGTGGAACTTACATAGATGTCGCAAGTGCAGATACCGTGCTTGGGGCAAGGCTGAGAGGCGGATTAACGCGCTAAGATCCTGTTCGGTTGCAGGTTACGTCGCCACAGCCGCTCTAACTGGCTCCTTTACAAATCCGCTAAAATGTACTGAATACATTGAAACGTATATATAAAATACACATAGCATTGTCTGCTGTTCTTCTGGACTGGAACATAGCTGTTCTTATCTATCGTCTCCAGTACAAACGTTTTGTGGTCCTATACGTTATCGTTAAATAAAAACGAAAGTGTTTAATGCGCATAAATTGTTGAAATCAAATATTTTAAATCATCGGCTTTATATAGCGACGACGAGGCGTCTATATGCAGGATAAACTTTATTTATAAGAAAATATTGATTTTCGTTAAAAGACGTAATAAATAATAATTATACGGAATAATAAATATACATACTCTCAAACATGGTTCGGCATAATAATGACCTATTTACGCACCTGACACAAATTACGTACGTCATAAAGACGTCAACTGTGTTATTTTTATACGTTATTGCGATTATAAGTATTAATTGCAAGTTTATTTATTCACTTATTTTTCTCGAATAATTCATATATTTTTTTATGTGAAAAGTTGCCAAGCGAGCAGACGGCTCATCTGATGTTAAGTAAATACCGCCGCCCATGGACATCTGCTACACCCTTTTGAAAATTGGGCTCCGGTCACCTCACTCACCAGACGAAACGCGAAAGTATTATACTTCCACATGACGCCGGTCTTCTGTGAGGTCGTGGTACTTACCCGGGCGAACCCGCCCATTCGTGCAACAGCCGAGACTGCTGCGTGGCCCTACCACCGTTTTAATAACTTGCACCATTCATATTAGTTGCTAGCTCATTTAAATTGTACACAAAACCACTTTGTTTTGTCTGCGAAGCATGGTAAAATAGGGTCAAAGTAAACACACATTATAGATGATTATTAGATGAATATATGG